AATTAGAAGTGATATGACAATTATTGGCAAAATATAGTACCCCAACAGAAAGCCCTAACAGAGGAAGACCAAGCTCTAAAGATCAACCGTTACGACTGTCAGGTAGGCATTTTCCCTCAGATGTATCAAGATACAGTAGTGGCAAAACAATCAGGAGGTGTGCAGTTTGCATCAAAAACAGTAAAAGAACAGATACTAGGTACATGTGCTCTGAATGTGATGTTGGGCTTTGTGTCACACCATGTTTTGGTATCTATCATACAAAAACAAATATTAATATACATTAATAAAACTAATATAAGTATCAATTTGGCTGTTTACTATATTATGTAAGATTATTATTTCTGTATATTTGTTACTTTATGGTTAAAAAAGAATGTTTCACTTATTTGAATAGTTGTTTTTATGTTTATAATATTCCTTTTTAGCAAACCGGTTAATCTAACATTAAAAAACTATTATGAAAATAAAAAATATTAATATAAAAAAATGTATCAAATATATATCTATATATATCATGTATTAAATTCAAGAAGTTTATCAAAATAAAAGGTATCATAAAAATAATAAATGATATAATTAAATGAAAATGTAATTAACCATATTGTCGCTAATCGTTAGCAGATATTTGGGAACCAATGGACTACAAACTTTGAATTAATTCTAACTTTTAAAGTTTTGGATAAAAATTTTTTTTTTCAATTGTCTTTTATTTATCATTTTCAATCAGAAACAAATATTAAAACGATAAAATTAAAATAAAAAATTAAGTCAGTCCAGGAGGACATCTTAGAATTAATTAATTCAGCACTCAAAGGGTTAATTATTCGATCATTCGATTTTGCCATGACACTTCTCTTTCGCCAACAAAATATTCTGCAAAACTGTCTTTTTTTTCGAGCTTCAGGTTAAAGGATTTCGTTGCGTGGGAGGTCCTAATCCTCTGAATCCGGATGAACCTTCTTCATTTCGCCATGATCCAGGAATTAAACGTCCCAACTCTAAATCTTCAATGTCAACTGATATGGAGTGTTGACTAAGTCCTGTCTTTCTAATCCAATTATGTAGGGAACATGCTGCTTTAACAAGCTTCACTACTGTTTCTGAAGCGAGTAATATAGGTTTTCTAAATACTCGGAATCGGAAAGCCAGTATACCAAAAGAATTTTTGACAATTCGTCTGGCACGACAGTGCCTATAATTGTAAATCTTTTCTTTTCTTGAAAGAATATTTCTTCTTGCATATGGTTTCATGAGATAAGTTTTCAATGGAAAAGCCTCATCTCCCAACATAACTGCACCATCTAGCAATTTTAACACGTTTTCTTCAAGTGCCTTTTTTAAATTTGATTTTTCAAAAATTCCAGCATCAGCGTTACTTCCATAATTACCAATATCAATGCATTCGAAATTATGATTATGATCAACTAAGGCTAATAAAACAATGCTAAATGACCCCTTGTAATTGTAGTAGTTGGAACCTGTATTTGGAGGACATTGTATCATTATATGCTTACCATTAATGGCACCAAAGCAATTTGGGAAATTCCATAATGAATTAAAGCCATTAATGATTTTCTTCCATTCGTTTTCATTTTTCGGGACCTAAAAAATTAATACAAATTAATATACAACAACAAACTAATTTTATATTAATAAATTAAAAATTATATTTTTATAGGTATTAAATGATAAAAGTGTTGATTTAACATCTGTGGATAATGATGATTCGAAAAATACTACAAGTAGAAGCACAGTTTGATAAAGATGCTAGGTTAAAAGCTAATGATGATGATGATAACTTTAAAGCACCCACATGTACACCAAGGAAGTCAAAAAAAAATATTTTTAAAAAAACTAAAATTGATAACACGTTGGACAATGCTGTAGAAACCCTGAAATATGTTTGTAAAAAACAAACAATGGAAAATGAATTTACAGTTTTTGCGAAACATATAGCAACTCAACTGGAACAACTTCCTTTAAAAGAGGCTCTCATGGCACAATCAGATATCCAGAATATTTTGACAAGAGCTCGCATTAGTTCAATGAATGAGACAAATGGGTCCACAAACCCAATTGTAATGACAGCTAAAAATACAACTAAGGTACAATTCATACCTTCCCCATCTGATAATAGCTATTCAAATATCTCATATTCAAGTAATGATTCTACAAAAGATGAATTTGATGCATCATACTCTGATTGTTTTACAACTTTAGAACCACCAGAACCAGTACATCAAATAAACCAAAACTCAAATTTAGCATTATTTTATAATAATTTTGAAATTTAATAATAATTTCTATAGAATATGTATTATTATTTTAATTCATGAATGAAAGTTGTTAAAAAGTATTCTAGATAAACAGTATATAACCCATACAGATTAATAAATAATAATACATTATATTATATAAGGCATCATTATTTTTTGTCAAAATCGTTACCTGGATATATTCTATTAATCCTTCATAAATAGCATCAAATACAGCAGGTAAAAAACTACAAATGGATGATGCTGAGACTCTGTACAGATATTGAAGTGATTTGTAGGAATCTCCTTTAGCCAAATAACGCATAGTAATTTCCCATTTTAATTCAGGTGATAGGGCATTTCTCATAATAGTATCACATTTCATAATTTTATTTTCAACCTATAACAAAGTATCTGATTTACCAAAATCAGCAGTAACAATTCGAAATTGTGTAGTAAATTTTAGTTTAACTATCAGAAAAGAAATAATTGACGAATTTAAACGGTTAAAAAATACAGGTGAACGATTTAATTTAACTTTTGACGAGTGGACTTCCACGGCCAACAAGCGTTTTATGAATATTAACGTCCATTCGCAAACAAAATTTAGGAGCTTAGGTCTTATTCGAGTTCAATGACAGCTGAAAACTGTATTTGTGTATTGAAAGAACGACCAAGTCGACTTAATATTTCACTAGAAGAAGATATTGTCGCAATTGTAACCGATGGACCAAATGTTATGTTAAAAGTAGGAAAACTTGTTGATACTGAACACCAGTTATGTTTTGCGCGTTGTATTCATTTAGCTGTTTGTGATGTACTTTATAACAAAAAAAATATTCGAGATGAATCAACTGCAAATGATATAAATGAAGATGACGATGAAGAATTTGACTTTCCGGATTCTGGTTTAAATTTTCTTCCGCAAAATGATATTATTCAAGACATGCCACATTTAACCAATGAATATAATATTAATGTGGTAATTAAAAAAATACGCAAAGTTGTAATGTATTTTAAAAGATCTCCGACAAAAAATGACACTATACTTCAAAAATACGTTAAAGCAGAGCATGGAAAAGAAATTAAATTACTCCTGGATTGTAAAACAAGATGGAATAGTCTTCTTGCTATGTTAGAACGTTTTATCCTTTTAAAAACCAGCATTCAAAAATCGCTTATAGATCTCAACCATCCAGTCAGTTTAGAAGATTCTGATTATAACTTAATTATTGAGATAACAGATGTACTTGCCCCATTAAATTGACAGTGGAAGCAATTGGTCGTCGTGATTCCGATTTGTGCACTGCTGATGCTGCATTAAAATTTCTTTTCAAGGAATTGTCAAAAAACAATTCAGTAATTGCTAATAAAATGAGGACATGCTTAAGTGATTGTATAAAAAAACGACGACGTCCAGAGTTGTCTGGCGTATTGAGTTATTTACAGAAGCATCATGATGACTATGATAAAATTACATATTTGAAAGATATATTTTTAATCCCTAAAAATGATTTTATTAGAAAACAAATAATAAAATTAATTGAAAGGATACATTATAATGAACACCTAATGACACCTAATGAAGAAGAACAACATTGTTTTGAACATCTATTACACTCACTCAATTGACATTGAAAGAAAAGTTGGAGCTTGAAATAGGAAAAAATAAAAGAAAAATTGATCCTATAACACTAAAAGAAACTGATTTAATAAAAATAATCAAAAATGAGATGAATTTATTTGAAAATGGAGGAACTCGCGGGCATCACTTAAACCTAGCATTTAAGTACTTAATGTCTATTCCTCCTACAAGGATCGAGTCCGAACGTGCATTCTCAACAGCAGCCTATATTGGAAACAAGCTAAGAAGCAGACTGGGAGACGAAACATTAGACGCTCTACTATTCCTGCGTTCATATTTTCAAAATAATTAGAACCAATGTATATTTATAAACTTTATTTACTAATAACTATTCTTATGTATAATAATACAAATATTTAAATAAAACAAACTTGTGCATAATTCTTTTTAACATTTTCTTATTAAATTTCCGGATAATCCCGGGATCCCGGGATTAATAGCTAAATATCCCATAATCCCGGGATCTTAAAACTGGGCCGGGATTGTAATCTCTATATATAATATGTAAATAACGGAAATGGAATTCTGAAAATGATGTCCGCTTAGTTTGAACAAATGAATACAATTGATCTCTCGTTCGGGGCGAGCTCCAGCATTCAAAATTATTTCTTTTTCAAGAGATATCCCCCGCTATTAAAATGTCTTGGATAAACACACACCGATTGATTGATAAGTGCATATTATTATATAATATTGCATGATATAATATAACGGACGAGAAAAGTCAAGGATGGATAGGGTGAGGCAGCGGGTCGGTATGTAGATGAGGTCCACAGTTAATTTCTAAAGCGTTATCCTAGTACGCGGTAGTCTTAAGACATCTAGATGTTGATTCAACAGTACTCTTCATCCTTCACGATTTTTTGCTTCGATCACTAACACATTTTATACTACGGACATCGAAATCAGTATTAATTAATATTTTTCACTGTCTCTAACTGGCAAAATGAGCTTATTTTATTATTAATAATTTCCAAGAGTTTTCAAGAGGGCCGTGAAGACTGCAAAGACGATACGAGACCAGGACGTCCTTCAACCACTTGTAACGACCTAAACATTGATCGTGTGCAGTCTCTAGTGCTTTCCCCAATCGAAGAATGACAATCCGGATGTTGGCTGATACGCTAAGTATCGGAAAATCGTCTGTGCACACAATTTTGACGGAAAATTTAGGTTTGAAAAAATTGTGTACGAAAATTATTCCAAAGCTGCTAACACCGGACCAAAAGTTGAGGCGAAAAGAGTGCTGCATTGACTGGAAAAATTCGGCACTCACTCCTAATTTTCTTGAAAGGGTTATCACTGGTGACGAATCATGGTTTTACGAGTACAATCTAGAACTTAAAACTCAGAGCATGGAGTGGAAGTCAAAAATGATCCCCGAACGAAAAAATGTCGTAAAAGCCGGTCAAAAATAAAGGTCATGTTAATCGTCTTTTTTGACTACCGTGGTATTGTGCATCATGAATATCTTCCTGAAGGACAAACTGTAAATGCTATTTTCTATGTGGAAGTTCTTAAGTGCTTACGAGATCGTGTGTGACGTGTACGACCAAATTTGCTAGGAGAGGACGGGTGGATTATGCATCACGATAATGCACCCGGCTCATTCTTCTTTGCTGGTCCGTGAGTTTTTGGCCCGAAATTCAATCACAAAACTTGACCCCCCCCCCCTCCTATTCTCCAGATTTAGCCCCCTGTGATTTTTTTTGTTCCCAAAATGTAAAATGGTCATGAGGGACAGCATTGAGACGATGTGGAAACCATAAAGCGCGAAACAACAAGACAGCTGAAAAGCCTAACTTCTGAAGACTTT